AAAAAGTCACTAAGTCTTACCTTAGTTGGCAACACGAAATAGATGGGCTCTAAGAAGAAATAAACCAATAGAAAGGTAAAGCTCAAGAAAAGCAAAAGGAGACCACTAGAATTTTTCAAAAATGTCAAAATTGGAAGGGGTTATACTCTACAACCTCAGCAACATTGGTGGAATGCCAAAAAAAAAAGGAAAGGTTGAAAGCCATGCTTGCAAAAGAGAAACGAAAGCACTTGGAAGTACTAAATGAAAAACAATCACTTCATCAAATAATTCAAGGGTTAGAGCTACAACTGCAAGATCACAAGAACCATATTTTAGTAATGATAGATGAGTGGCATAGAAGGAAAAAGATTGGATCTTCACATGTGATTCGAAAAGAAATGCTCACCATGATATGGAAAGTAAAAAGTTTAAGGAGCCAACAGTACATAAAGCATGTAACTAGTCAAGTTTGTAAGGCAGTAAAAAAGGCACGAGAGATGGTTGAAAAGGTAAAAGCATTAAGAAAAAAAATCAATCCTGTAGAAGAATACGAACAATGACTAGTAAACTTTCTAGATGAGATAAAATGCCATTATGAACAAGTCAAATGCTTCTATGGATATAATTCTAAGATGATAAATCCCATGTAATCAAAGTTGTATGGAATCAATGAAAATTTTTAGTATTGAAATTTATCCAGGAGCAAATATTTTTTACTTGCATTCATGCATCATTCGCACCATCTTCTTTCTAAAAAAAATTTCAAAAAAAAAAATAAAATTTTCGACACATGGCATTCTGATGTTTCTAAAAATTTTATGGTAATAAAGATTCAAGAATAGCTCGCCCTTCAAAAATTTTGACTCAACCCACTCGCCATTCATACAACACCAGGACTCAAACAAGAATTATGAAACAAGAACAGACCAATCGATTTAAGAGAATCAAGAAAGCTCAAAAAGAACTAAGAGAGGATCTTAGTACAATAATGGATATGCTCAGGAAGATAAATGGGTGATTAGCTTTAGTGCTATTGGGAGATTGTTACTGTGAGTCCTACAAGCCAATTGTGATTGGTTGTAAAATACAATTTTGTCATTTCATGTATTACATGTTTTATCCAAATTTTAAGGCAAACCACTTAAGAGACTATCTCATCTCTTAACTTACATAATTTTTTACAAACTAGTGAAGCCTCTAATAGGTTGCTAGATTTATGTACAATAATGAAGAGACTAATAAAGATTGGTACAAGATTATAAAAGGATATGGAATTAAAGTGCTATAGACTTGAAAGTTTTTTAATTTCTTAATTTGATGCTCTTGGTTCTCTCTTTATATTAGAGTGTGTTAAAAGCTTTCTTTTATGGTGGAAAGTGAATTTTAGCTGTTTGGATGATTTGAATGAGAAATAGACATTAAAAATTTAAACTTTTGGCTCATTAAATATTTGTTCTATTTCAAAAGATTGATCTTTTGCTATAGGAGATTAATCTTTTAACTACAAAATTAAAAAGCTTGACTATTAGAGATGTCACAATGATTTTGTCCAAAGACTTTATCACTAAACAATTTTAAAAACATAAGGAGTCACACCGATCTTCTTTTGGTTAGGTGTGACTAACCATCTAGAAAACTTACCATTTTAATAAAACCCTAAAAACAATTAAGATTTATCAAAAATATAATTTTTGGGTCTACAAAAATAGTTTGAATTTGAGAGTATAATTACATATGAGGAAAATTAGTGCCCTACAGTATCCATTAAAAAAAGGTACCAATTAACTATGCATCATCTATATGCCTTGATAAAAATGATTTTAATTTTAATATTTAACAATAATTCCCTAAGTTGCTCATCAAAACTATTTTATTGCTTTTTTACCAATTTTACTTTATTTCATCATCTTTTATTAAAAAAAAAAGAATTTTTATCTTTTTTATGTTTTTGAAGGGTAAACAAAAACTTTTTTATATTGAAACTTTCTTAGCACATTCTAATACTTTAGCAATGTTATAAGAAATATTTTCACCTAAGGATTTTTTAGGAATCACAATTTAGACTTTTTTAGAATTCTATCATCATAGACTCAAGTTTTTTTCATTGTGTTCATGCATTATCATATGCAACTTTATTTCTTTTATAAAAAAATATTTTTTATTCTAAATTAAATAAAAGAAAAGCAATAAGTGAAAATATTTTTGTAATGAATATTCCCCTAAATACTTTAATATTTTGGTAGCATTTTTAAAAATAAATTCTCATCTAGAGATTTCTAAAAGATCACTATTAGGACTTTTTTAATATCCCATCTTCAAAAAATCTTTACAATTTTTAAATTACCAAGATGAAATACAAATTTATTAAATCTACCGGTTAATATAATTTTAGAAATCTTCCAAATGAATACTTCAATAAACAAATATATAACTAAATAAAATAAATAATTTTTTTTTTAAAATACCAAATCAAATTGGTCAAAAGATCTACTCAACTGGTCAAAGATCCAATCAACACAAATCATTGGAAGGGATCTAGTCAATGGGCACGTAGGTTGGTTCTAACCTGTCTTTCTTTTTTTTTTATTTATTTTCAGCCCCACTATAAAACCTAAAAAATTTTATTTTCTTCATTTTTTTCACTTTTATTTTCTCTCTCAAGCTTCAAACATTCTCTCTTTAAAAAGCCATTGGTACCAGCTTTTTAATCCCAGAATCTAACAATCAATTGTCGTCATTGTTGCTAGTCACCGTCAATGGTTGTTGCTACTCAGTTTCGGATTTTCATTGAAAAATACCAAAATGCTCATTCTTCCTTTGTCTTTATCTCTTCATAGTAGTTTTTCCCAAAACTAACTTAACCACTCTGGATCTAGCCCTAAAATCATTGGTTTTAAACTTAAAAATATCTTATTTTCATCGACCAAACACCTAATCTTCCTACTATGTTATTCTCCTTCCAAAACTTTCGTATAATCCAAAACTCCGATCCTGAAACCCCTTGAAAGTAACCTAACCCGAAACCTTCTTTCCCCTCTGTTTTTTATATTTATTTTCTTGTTTGTTTTTTTGGTTTGATCGGGTTCCTCACTGACTTGCTTTTTTTCGCTTTTTTTTCTTGGATGGAGTTTTGGTGGTGGTTCTTTGTTGGCTTTTAGCACCCAACGGTGGTGTTGGGAACTCATAACGGGTTTATTTTTGGTCTGGTGGTTGTTGGTAGGAGGTCACAATGGAGGTAATGGGTTAAGGGGATTTTTTGGTAGAGTCTTCTTGCTTGCTAGTGGATAGTTTTCTAAGTTTAGCTCGAGGTGGCTTGGGGATATGGTTCAGATTTAGTTATGGCAATGTTTTAGAGATTAGGGTGATTATTCAATGGTGATTGTTTTGGTGTCTTTAGTGATGGTTGCTTGAGGAGACTTTAGTGATGGTGGTTCAGCTTAGGATTCTCTTTTCTAGTAAGATTTTTGCTGTCAACATATGAGAACTTAGGATTTTTTTCGCGTGTCCCTTTTCCTTCGTATCTGTAAATTAGCTATATTTGAAGAGCAATAATGGAATCAAATCTTAAATTTTTTGGGATTGAAAAGTTTGATTGAGGGATTGCAACTGATATTTAGCTGCCTTGGTGGCTAGCCTTAGGATGGGGATGGTAAGGTGGGTTGAGTTGCAGTTGGAAAGCTAACAGGGTAAGGGTTGTGTGGGTGACGTGCATGGCACTTGTTGCAATTTTTTTAACTCACATTATTTATTTATTTTTTCTAATTAAATTTTGGTTAATTTTTTTAATTAGAAAGGAAAAGAAAATATATTCATTTTAATGAGTTATGTGCTTTGTTAAAATTTGGACTATAGGCTTTCAAGCCCAATGACTTTAACTCTAAGTTTTTAGGCTCAAATGACCCATGTAATAAAACTATTGCAATCAAGCCTAACATGACCCAAATTACTTAATAAATTTAATTGAGATAATAAAAATGGGTCTAAATTGAAAATAAAATTCAAAATCCATTCCAGTCAACCTAGAAAAATTAGGTATATACAATGGTATCAATCCTTTTAAAAGGGGACTAACCCTAAAACTAATCATTTCTTTGTCAAATGATCGATCATTTGAGCAAGGGCCTTTTAGCTAAAAATTCAAAGGAAGCATTTTATTTGTTAAAGGATTGATCCTTTTCATAAAAAAGATCGATCATTCAATAAAAATCAAAGGAGAATTCAATCCTTTGATGATGGAAATCAATCATTTTACTTAATTTTCAAAATTTTGCCTTTTTTAACCTAGAAAAGGATTGTCTTTATCCCAAAACTCATTTGAAAAAAATTCATTCAAAGAATCATATTTTAAAAAGGGACTAAATCCTAAACGTTAAAGCAATTTTAAAATCATTTGTTTTGAATCCAAGAATAAATGTATCTTCTTTGCATTATCATCATATACTCATTCTCACCAAATTAGCTAACACAAAATCAATTAACTCACCTTTACCTAGCAAAAAGAAAAAACTTGTTAGAAAAGAATCATTAACATCTTGCAAAAGTTAATTAGAAAAATAGTCAAAAAATCAATAAAAAAAAAAGCAACTTGAAGAGTATGGTTAAAAATTTCACTTTTTAGGATCATCATAATATAAGTTAATCTCTTGTTGATTTACTTATTTGTTGTTAAAATGTAAGTTTATTTATGTCAGTAAAATTTTAGAAATATTTAAAAATAAATGTTCTTACTAATTTAATTGTTTAGCGTAAAAAAATATTGATAAGTTTTTTTTTTAAAAAATTTTTTTACGTAAGCCACTTACTCACAGCCCCAAAATATGCCATTGAATTTGGATGAACACATTGGCTTAATGAAAATTTTGAAAGGTAACAGATATTTTTTTTGAACAAACCACTTATTAAAAAAAAGTAATAGATTTGTCCCTATTTGAAAATCATAGACAACTATTAAAAAGTTACATAATGCGTTTTCTCAAAAAAAAAAGAAAGAAAAAAAAGGGGGTGGGGGGGGTGGGGGAGTGGGGGGTTACGTAATGCGTCAACGATATTTATTTTCCAAATTTACTCCTAAACAAACATATTTTTGCCAAAGTTTCCCTCTGACAAGCTGATTCGACCTGACCCGTATTTGTGTTAGGCTCGTATTTCCTCTCGAACCTCCAGTTCCTTCTCATGTTTTGCAAATTCCGAGGCATCCATTTGGTTGTTGATGATCTTATTTTGGAACTCTTTTGGTGTTTCCTGATTTTCATCGTCACCCTTCATTGTTTCTCCAATATTTTTCACTTCATGTTCCTTATTGGAGATGCTACCATTGCTTTGAAAGAGAATATTTGCAATCCAATTGCGAAATTGCTCAGTGGATTCCTCATCTGTGAACACAGATGAATCAACTAATGCAAGATAACCAAGATCGATATTACTTGAAATGACAACTAGCTATTGCGATGCTTCTTCTTATACAACTCTTACTGGTATATATGCTATTATCGTAACAATTTAAACAAGTTTGGAATTGAAAATGTTACCAAAATAAATTTAACGATTAATTGTTCACTTTGTTAAAGATTATTTTCGATTGAACATTTAAGTTTGTTGATTTTAGACTTGCAAAATATATTTATAAAATTGATTTTGCTACTATATTACGAATCTATAACAAAATATAAAAGGAGTCCAAACTCCAATTTACTGTACAGGTATGGAATGTCTTAAAAAAATTAGTGGATATATTTGGTGTTTGTTTGTAATTGGGACAGTTGGCGCTGGTGGAAAAGTTGGAAATTCTAGGGGTTTGAGCTTTGAGGGTTGTGAACTGTTTGAAATAGGAAAGAGACCAGATTGTTTGGGAGAAAGGGGGAGGGAATTTAGTAATAGAGGACCGCTACACAAGGGGGGGGGGGGGGGGGGGGGGGGGGGGCTGAACTGAAGGGGTTTGATTAGAGTAAAAGCGATTTGAAAGTCGATGGGGGCAAAGGCGAGGAAAGTGTCGAAGAAAATAATAAAGAAGGCGTCTTCTCAATTTTCACATTCTGATTCTAAAACAGCCTCTATTGATTTCCTGGTATATTTCTTTTTTAGTATTCAATTTTTGCCTGTTGATTTTTCCTTCCTTGCTTTTGTAATCCCAAACTGGTTTTGAATGCTGCATATATCTATGAAAAAGCCATTGGAAGGCGGTTAAACTCCCTTCATTTATATGCAAGATCCATTTATATGCAAGATCGTTACTCCGTGGGTGGAACCGCCGGAGCCGTCGTAATTGCCTAGGTGGAGCTTTTAGTCTATGTGGGAGTTAGCTTCAGTACTTAATTTCTTGCATGTAAGTTAAATTCTTATGTTATTTTGCTTTTATTTATTCATTATGAAGCTTTGGTTTTTGTTGGGAACTTATGGATTTTTAGGCCACTTTTAAATAAAACATGGTCCTGTGGGAGTTCTCGGCGGAGTTTGCGAAAGCGTTGATTACGCCTAATGATACTTTGGGAGATATTCTTGTTCCTTTGTTAAAGGTTCGTTCTTTTCTTTTCAACTCCTAAAAACTTTGATTTTATTTTTGGGTTCTTTAAAACATGCCCTTTTTTATGTGTTTTTTTCATGGTCCTTGTCCTTGGCATTACTTTAGTCCTTATTGAGGCAATATGTTATTTTTAAAGTCTTGACTTTGCTTTTAGCAATACGTTTATTAATTTGAGTGGTATAAAAGTGTAGATTTTTACTTAGTATTTTGAATTTGGTAGAGCAATAGTTGGATGGTTATAGAATTTATCTCTTGAATTATGGCTTTCTGCAGTTAAGAATTTAATTTCTTCATGAAGCTATTGGTATGATGGGGCTCTTTGAAAGCTATAGCTATTAATGAATCCCAACAAAAAGTTGTGTGAGACATGAATCAACTTTCTTCTTGGATTGGGGCTTGAGGGTTTTCATCTTCTTATGTCTTTGATTTCTTATATTGGCTTAATGAAGTTAAAAAGAACATGCAAATCATTAAAAGAATAAGTTGTCTCCTTTGACATATTTATAATTCATTTTCTAACATGAGAAAATCTTGATTTTTATATGTATCATTGCTTTGAAGAATGAAACCAGGAGTTAATACCTCACGGTGGATGGAGTGTCCATGAGTTTTATATTCTAATCCAAAGTTTAGCATACGCGTGATGGAACACTGATTCGCTGAAGAGTTGTGCTCAAAAGGTTTGAAGATGGCTTCATGTATGAAAAGCAAAACCCTTAAGTGACCCTAAGGTTGGTACAGTTGTTTATATTTGTTTGTGTTTGGAGAAAGGAATTTTAGGTTGGTACTTTTAATGTTGATTGTCCACATACTTTTTGGCCAAGAAGTATTTATCATTATAAAATATAATATACTTAGTAAAAAGATGGGTGAGATTGATTTCTGTAGAATTTGTTAATTTCAATGGCTTGCTGGAAGTTTTTTGTACCAATTTAGGGCCAACAAAGAATGATATCAAGCCAAATATATTCTGTTTACTCACATTCTTTTCCATTATTGTATGGATCCTCTTTATCATATTCAATTATGACATTTGTAATGATTATCTAGAGATTAATTTTAATGGACAGTTTAAATGAATTACATAGGAAGAAAACTACTTCACTATTTGCTTTAGTGTTTTCAATAAATACTAATTTTCTAGGGTGGAGGTTGAAGTATACAATATAAGTCACTTGATCTTGGAATTCATGCTGTAATCTTGAAAACACTAAGTGACACTCGCGTTGAGCTATGATAATCATCAATAAATTGTCTTTTAACTCTCCATTGTAAATGCTTGATGTTTCTTTTATTGATCTTGACTTTGATTTCCCATATATATTATATTGTAATTTTGAGGGCAGCATCAACTCTATTCATGTAATATTGGTGGAACTAAAATTTATGATTGCGAATATTTCAAATAAGTCCTGAATGGCAGAATTCTTGTAGCTTAGTGTTGGACACTTAGATGGTTGGACACCTGTTTACTTTACCTGGGACCTGCATTACAGTTGCATTTTATTAACTAATGATGCACTAACATATTGGTCTATACAGTTTTTGTTGTACATTGTCGCTGTCATTGTCATGTATATGAAGGCTTACTTCTCTTTTAATTATCTTTACATTGAAACAATTTTTCTATCAACATAAGTGAGTAAATAGCTCTTCTTGACAATGATTTTTAGATCTAAATGTGCTTTAATCTTTATGTTATGGTAATATGCTCATTATAAATAAGTTAAACAGTTTTAATTAACTTGGAAGAATTTCAAGATGAATCATACCTTTTGTGCCACTTCCAATTCTTATTTTAATAGGAATGGGACTCTTACCTTTTTTGATGGCAACAAAAAATTTTCGTTGTATGTTGGCTTTTGCATGCATTCATTTCCTTTGTTTGTACTTATTTGCATAAGAATGTGATGAGATTCTATGGCCCTTAATGTTGTTCCCAATGATGAAGAAATTATGGATGTTAAGGCTACAACAATTTCCAGCACTACAGTGTAGATTCCAACTTCTACAAAGAGATCCATTGTCAGGTTAGACATTATTTTTATTTTTGTTTTATGTATTTTTTTCACTCCTTATGTTATATTTTTTTCGGTGTTATAGGTTAGATAACCTCATTATGGAAGCGATTACAAGCTTGAAGGAGCATGGTGATTCAAATAAGACAACTATTGCGGCATGTATAGAGGTAGTGTTTTATTTGCAGTATTCATTGTTTATAATTCAATTTTCTTTTTGTGATTTAAAGAAAATATTGCATTAGAGATCTGTAATAAACTGAGATATGAGGAATAAATCAGATTTTATGATATGAGAACTTTAAAATGGCACATGAGAAGCTGAGGTCTCTCAACTAATTTATTATAGTTTGAAGCTTATAGGAGACCTTTTTAGTTTATTCTTTAATTGCTATTGCTATTCTTGCCCAACAATGGCGAAGAAGAGAAAAAGAAAGAGCTGTGAGGAAAGACTTGTGTGAACCCAATGTTTCTGTTTTTATGTTATATTTCAAGTTTGATTTTGAAGGTGGTAGAATTGGAGTTACTAAGTGACCATAAAGTCTGCATGTCACTCAGCTTTTCCCATCTCTTTGTTTAGGGCATTGCTAATCTTATTTATTTTCACCATGAAACCTGGCCATTTTGGATGACACCAGAAATTTAATGACACTTGACATGCCAAAACAATTATTTCATCAATTTAATCTGCTCACTAGGATTTAAAATGATGTGATGTTCCATCTTATACTTTGGTGATGACAGCACCCACTTAGTTTAGCACATCAGGACAATGTAAATAAATATATTTTCTATGAGTTGTTGGTCTTCTTGTTGTGGATCTAGCATTTCTATATTTCTGGAAATATTTTCCCCCTTAAGGAAATCACAATGGCAATTTTGATATGTTATTAAAATATTTTCCAATATATTTCCTTTACCACATCAATTACGTTCTTCTAAAATGCCCTCCATCCTTAAGGCTTAGCATTAAGCAGAGTTATATTACTCAATTCCATAGTGTTCTATTGTTATGTGATGGAAAATCTTCTACTATCTTTCAATTTAAATAGTAAAACTTCGGTTGTTAACAACAAGGTGTGGTGTCTGTGGGAAGTGGACCATTGGATCAACTATTTGGTGGTGGAAACTCTCATCAGTTTTTGCTAGGGCAGGTGTTGCAGCCCTCACCAGTGGACTGATAGCAATTTTGTTTATCCCTCAACTTAGTTCACAGAAGAATAGGTCCTTCCCATGAGGTATTTTGTTGTACCTTATTTTTTGTTTGCCATGAACATGAATATTAAATTGTTCAGATAGCAAGAATTTGTATATAGCTATTGTTATTTTATTGATCAATAAAATCATTATGATCTGAGGTTTTGTTTGCCAATATGTTATTTTATTTGACATTTGAAACACTAAAAAGCTAGCTGCAGCTTCATTTTCATTGGTTTTCCAACACGTGATCATCTATTCTGTTTTCTGAATATAGATAAAGTTGTTTCTGCTGATTGATGCTTTGACTCACGGATGCCTTGCCTCATGTTTTCTCTTTTATCTTTTCTGTGAAAGTGCAATCAAGACAATTTATGTAATAGCTTATTGGGGTTCAATATTTTTGTTAGCACTATAATGCCTCTGATGCTTCAAATAAATGATGATAATGCTCTTTGATCAAAATTATAAATTTTGCTAGGATTCACTTAGTTTGTTTCTAAAAAGAAGTTGCAATTCTCCAATCTTGATCACCATCCCGATCAATGTGTCATGCACCACTTTCATATTTGCACATGCTACTAATATGCTTAAAAGGTCATTGAATTGTTATGTCTATTTTAAATGAATTCAAATGTCATATGTCCAATTGTAATACTTTGAAATATGTATATGCGTGTATGTATATTAATTTTCCATTACATTCATGTACTTAAATAAAATTTCATTTCATAATGAAACATTTATATCATATTATTTTTTAAATTTAAAGCAACATAGCAAGGGACAACTAATTTTAATAAGTAAATTTTTAATTCACATATTCTTCTTTCTTCTTCGTTTTATTAATCTCTCATTGTTCAGAAATTTACATAATAAATAAAATCTTTTGATGCTATTGCAGGGGAATAAGTGATGAGAATAAAGCCATAAAAAATTCATATTAACATTGCTCATAATAATTTTCTAAATATGTTTTTAATATTTATACTATCTTTTATTATGCGAATTTTTTCAAAGTTAATTCAATTTCTTGATGTTTGAAGGAATCTTTTATTATTGTGTGGTGCAAATAAAGGTAAGTTTGATTCAATTCGAGTGTTAGTGGTTGATGAGGTAACTAAAATATAATTGCGTTTGCCTTTGTTAATTAGTTGTTGACTTATTTATAATCCATTTCTGGTGGGCAGCCACTTTTGCATTTAAATTTCCAACATAGCATTTCAAGATGAATATTACAATAGTTTGAATGGCATTTTTATTTTTCAATGTATTCTTGAATTGTAAGTAATACTTTTTTTTGGGGAATGCTTCTTAATTTATTGGTTGGCAATGTCTCTTACTCTACAGGGATAGTCAACTGATATTATTTTCACTTCTACTTGTTGGATTTTGTCATATGAAAATCCTTCAATCACAATAGGCAACAAGGTGGCAATCATTTTTCATTAACAGCTTCTTCTGTTAAACATGATGTTGCCATCTAGAATTCTTGGCTTTTTAGACATTTCTGAGAAGTACATTCCTCCTTGAATTGATGAACACACCTCCTTATATCTGTTTTCCTTTTTGGAAATGTGGTTTTAATATTTTTTTCTCTCTTGATGAACTCTGCATTGCCTTTTTGTATAAGAAACCCCATATTGCTCACTCTATGTAGGTGAGAGATGTACTATATCTTTTTTTTATATATATATACATAAATTCTTAAATTGATTTTGTTTTGATTATTTATATTTTAATATACTGGTTTTTTTTATATATTTCAAATTTTCAAATTTATTAGATTGACTTTGTTTTGATTATTTAATTTTTAGTATATTATTTTTTATATTTCGAATTTTCAATTATGCTAAAGAAAAAAAAAGAAAAAAACCATAGGGAAACAGGGCATCATACTAGTTTATGATGGTTTCAACAGAAGATAAATTATTTGGGGAAGTAGTTAAATATTGAGTATAGAAAAGGGAATCAAAACCCAAAGTATAAGAATGAAAAGGCAACAAGTAGAAAGCATTGAGGTACGTACCCAGTCTTGGGACAGTGTGGCCTTGGGGGTGCCTGATGATGAGAGGATCATCGAAGGCCGTAGCCAGCTCCTCCGAAGGCAACCTTAACCAGTCCTTAGCTCCTATGAAGTGGACTGATTTGACCTTGATTGTGTCTTTGTAGGCCACCTCGCATATGCTTGGATCTCTAAATTTTGATCCTGATATTGAAACCAATATTTTGAAGGGTGGATGCTCCTTTAACAGCTTCCCCTGTTTTGGCACAACTTTTTAGAATTTTATTATTGCAAATAATTAAGTGCCAAGAGAAGGCCAAGTTGCTGCATTCGATCGATCTTGCTGCTACACATAGCTTACATTACCTGTGCTTGGTAGCCTAACAACAGAGCACAAAGGGTTGCACCCTGAAACAGGAACAACTGAACAAATTAGAGGATCAAGGGAACAATCATCAAAGAATTACTAATTTATTTTTAAATGGGTTAATGTCATATTTGACTTTTATACTATACAAAAATTTTTAACATGGTGTCTTTACTTTTAAAATGTGTAATAGGTAATTTGATATTTTTATTATTAATTTTTTATCAACGTAATACTCAATTAATATCGTTAAATAAGATAGATAACGTAATTATCATTTAATCATATCATAACACATAACATATGTTGTTAAATCATTTTACTGTATCCTCATGTGAAATTATATTTAAATATGCATGAAACACCGGCATGGCTTGTTAGTGTCGGTTTTTTTATTTTAATGAAAAATAATTTAAAAATTAATTTTTTCAAAAAGTTAAATTTTCTTTATTTTATTTTATTTTTTCTCTTCTACTCTTTCTCTTTGATCTACCTCATTCAAATTGAATTTAACTAATTATCAGTCGAATCTAACTAGATGAGGTCGATTCCAAGTTTGTTTCAACTCATTTTTGACCTACCAATATCGGGTTCGACCTCTTTTGGTCAAATCTGGCCAATGATTGGTTGGATTCAACTTGAAAGATGGTAGATCAAGGAGATAGATGAGGGAGGAGAGAGAAAGAAAAATGAGAAAAGACTTAAATTTATTTTTATTTTAAAAAATAAAACATATTGTTTAGAATTTTGTTTTATTTAATTTTCAAATGAAAAGGAAAAAGAAAAAGTAAAGAGGCAAAATCAATATCTATCTTTAATTTCTTTTTTCAAAAATAAGAAAAAGTTTTTTTTAATTTAAATTTAAAAATAAGAATTATTTAAAAAATTATACTTTTATTTTTCAAAAAAATTTTAAAAGTTCTTTTCATTCACAAAAATTTTTATTTATTAAAATTTATTTTATATTTTTAAAATTATGTCACATGACATTCATGTAGGCACAAGACGGATACCACGTCAACATTTTAATAAAATGTGATAACATGACATGATGACATAGCATTCTAAACATGTATCAACGTGTGATTGGATGGAAATTATGTCAGCTTACTTCAAATAAAGATTACAACTCTAGGTATTAGATTATTATCGTAATCATATTATACATTTTAAAAGTAGGGATAAAATATTCGAAAATTTCATAAAGCATTTGGATCAAATATAACATCATCCTATTTTTTTTAATATTGACTTTTCAAATTACACAACCTTTATGAAAGGGTTATTTTGTTCTTTTACAAAGTTACCCTAAGGTAGTGTTTATTATAATTTTTAAGACTATCACAGTGATGTAATCACCAATGTGTTTTTACTATCAATATGATCTTATCACTTGTGATTTGAAATCATTTTGCTTAATTAATAATTATTAATTCATAAGAATTAAACTTCATTATGTTTGGTAATTACTAAAAATTAAATATTATTTTATTTAAAAATATGAAAATAATCAAGTATATTGTAATAATTATACAAGTTAATGATTTTAATATTAATTAAAAATAATAATTTTATAAAATATAATTTTTTTACTTATTTTATAATAAAGTATTATTAAATTAATAAATATCTTTTAATTATTTAGATAAATCAATTTTTATAATATAAATTTTGTAAAAAATATTTGAATTAGAAAATAAAAATAATCTATTAAAACCATAACAAAAAAAAAAGATTATATTATATATAAAACATTAAGAAAAGTAAAAAAATACACAAATTATTTTTGAACTTGTTATGAACCTTAATTTGAAAATATAAAAAAATTATAATTTTAAGAAAAAGCAAGTTTTTAATTTATATATTAAAAAAGTAATATTGACTATTATTAATTTTATATATCATTTTACCTCAATGATAAAAGTTTCTTACTCTTTTAGATGGGAATTAAATAACTTTTCAAGGTAATGATCTAATCACTCTTGGTGATTTAATATTACTGTCTTATAAGATTACTGAGTGCTTAATAAACAAGGTAATCAAAGCACCATATGTATATCAATATAATTTTTGGAATGATCACAGTGATCTAATCACTATAATTTTTAGAATAATCATTTCATATCAAATACTATCTAAAAAAAACTAAAGAGTCCCACCTAACCTAATGTTATTATTTCAATGAAAGGAAAAATTAGAAACATGGATGTTATTTTGAAGGCTAAAAGATATAAAAAGTCCATAAATTATAATTAAAAAATTATTTTTAATTTTAAAATTCTTTTATTACAATCAATTAATCCTTCAATATTTATTTGTATCCAATTAAGCCTTTGTTTGAGTAAAAAAGTTAACACCGTTAATATTTTTTGACTAAGATAAAATTTTATATGATATTAATAAAACAAATAAAACTTTATCATGTAGTGCAATTAATATATGTAAAAATTAAATAAAATAAACTTTTATTTTTTTTTCTATTTTCTTTTCTCCTTTCTCTAAGATCCGCCTAAGGGTTCAATTTACTATAGATCGGGGATTGATTGATTCAATTTTGCTATGTGACTAAATTTTGTCCAATTAAGAGTATAATTGAATTGAAATAAGAAATTAAGGATTCAATTAATTGTAATAAAATATTAAATATTTAAATAATTTTTCAATTATAGTTCAAAGATATTTTTGACCTTTTAATATCTTTTGAAACATATTAAAATAGTAAGAACATTCAATTTGAAACGTAAGGAGCAATGGTTTTCATATTTAACACAGAATACATGACGGTATTAGGCATCAAAGTCATCTAATTTTAGCCATAAATTTCTATTGCTAGTTATAATCAGACATCAGTTGCTCATCATTTCTTTTTTTTTTTTTAATTTATAAACGGGTTAATAGACTAGCAAGTTTCTTATTATATTATATTTAACAAAAATTATAAGTTAATATAATAATTAAATTGACATATGAATGATAATTTTTTTAAATTGCTTGTGAAATTTAATAGCTTATGCCATTAATGTATAAAATAATAATTTCTAAGATAAATAATGAACAAATTAATAGTAAAAACTAAAATTATTAGTTACTATAATTAAAAGTCATGTGATCTATTTTCGAGCTAATAATTTTAATAATCAGATTTCAATTTCTGATAGCATTAAATGTAAAAAAGAAATACAAGTTACTGTTACAAATAATCAGTAAAGGGTTTTAAATGGATATATATAATATACAATTTAAATATAACCACTTTATTTAAAAGTAAAATCATGTAGTAATTAGTTTGTTATTTCATAAAAAAGTATTTGCTTTTGTCATTCTTAATTTTCATGGAAGAAATGGTAGGAGGAAGAAGAGGATACATACTTGTGAGAAGCCAAGCAGTCCATCAAAAGGACCATTGTTGGTGATATATTGACACAAGTGAGAGATGCATTCCTCAAGGTTTGTGTACTCTGTGAAATCCTTGTTGAACTGGAACCACTCAAAGTATGGAGGAGGGAATATGCCTTCTATGTCAGATTTGCCTCCAGCGGCAAATAATCCGTCTGGATAATCCTGCATATCGAATCACTTAAATTTTGAATCTTCTTCACTTATTAAAAAAAAAAAAAAAAGAAAATCCTTATTTTTTTTTGGTTTTGTTTTTTTGGCTTAAAGCCAAGGAAATAAAAATAGGAAAAAAAAAAAAAAAACAACATTTCTAGGTTTGTTTGATTCATGTAAAGATACCATGTGAAAGTGATGAAGGAGAAGAGTGGGATCCCACTTGCTGATTTGCTTCTGGAGGAACTTCCCACTGGTTCTAAACCCATGGAGGCATAATATCTTCATCTTTTGCTTTTGCTCTTCCATTTTTCTCCTATTCCCTATCCTTATTTGGAGTATGGCTAATTGGCTATGTGCCTTTCATATATATTACTAATTATAATGAAAAATGTTGTTTGTTAATTGTTCCTACCTAACACCGCTCTCTGGTTAGGTATAGCCATCAATTGCTTGGTTGGTGCTGCACGTGCATGGTAACAAAATTCACCTGTTAGCTAAGCAAATGTTTGTTAGCCAAAATTTTTTTTCTTTTCATTTTCTTTCTAATATTAAGAATAAGTATGCATCATTATGGGCTTTTAAAAAAACGGTACATGTCTATTTTTTAAATTCAAATAAGTAAAAATCTTCACTAATTCTTTTATGAAAAGTTTTTGTACATATATGAATTTTCATATATTTTATTGTCGAAATATGAGTAAGGTAAAATGGATTCAAATCCATTGATACATTCATATAAACATTTTATTCCTAGTGAGTTAAGTAAGAATTCTATTTCTAATATAATTCTACATAAGTGTTATCCGAGGCCTATTCCTCATGAGATTGAGATATGTTTAATTAGTGACGTTTGTATCTGAAAAATACTGTTATATTAACTACTTTTGTATCTAAAAAATACTTCTATTTTAGTGGCATTTATATCTTTAAAATACATTTTTTATCAAAAAACGTCGTTAATATGGTGGCATTTATATGATAAGATGATGCTAAATTAGCGGCATTTATATAAAAAAAAAAGTCACTAATTTATTGATGTTTTTCTATAAGAATGTCGCTACTTTTAGTAGTATTTTATGGTACAAACGCCACTAAATTATTCATTTAATGACATTTTTGAATGCGAATGCCACGAAATTAAGAAATTTAATTTTTTTAATAAAAATTTTTCGTTAATATTTATTATTTTCATTAACAAGAAATGTTAAAAGAAATAAAAACGTACTTAAATTCAAAGACTGAAATTAATAAATACTTAATTCACGTTCAAATATGCATCTAATTAACACAAAGTTTAATAATTAGTATAATAACATTCAAATTTTTTTAACACATTAACAAAAAAAAATTAAAATGTATGAAATTAATGACTACATAGATTTGGAAGACTGCCAATTGATGAAAGAATTTTTTTACCTTGGTCATTAGCATGCTTAAAAACCTGCTAAATAAAACCATATAATTTTTAACACTTTATAGTAAGCTTTTTTTATATTAAAAAATATAAATATTTACTAAATATAATACCTGAGTTGGTGGACCACCGAGATCAGTTCCTAAAAATTGTTGTTGCACAAAATTCACAAGATGATCGAATCGATCATGCAACTGCTGAAATTTTGTAAACTTTTACTCTATTCTAGCACATTCTTCTTCAATTTTGGCACACTCATATTCGTTTTCTACTTCCATTTGCTAGAAACGTTGTTGCATAGTTTGCAACTCCTTTCTCAATATCAAAATGTCTCGCGAAAACTGACTTGCTGAAAATACAAATTGCTAAAAGCTACGTCCATAGTAGGTAGATGGTGTTGGATCCAATCCAAGACCTCGGACCCGTCCATGCCTTTCTTTTCCAACAACTTTTATGAATATCTAATTTTTTAATTTTTCAATTTTGCATGTTGATAGAACCATCAGATGCTACTTCAATCTTAGTTGTCATTTTTTTTTCACTTTCTGTTGTAACTTAGTCATATACAACTATCAAGTTTAATGATTAATTGATAATATGTTAAAAATAGTAAATATTTACTTTCAGTTAAAATAGATGTTACAAATTACCATAATTTTTTATGTTTCGACATTCATATAAGATTCACCTTTTTTGTGTGTTTTAAGCGAAAAAGTTTCACACATTCAATTCTACCACCCATCTCAATCTCCTATTAAAAAATATATGTTATTGTTAAATGCATATTAACCGTAACTTATTTATACATATCAAGCCTGTCAATCAAGTTTAAAAATTTTGAATAATTTTAATATCATGTATTTAATCTATCTAAATTGTTAAAATATAAATATAACCTTAAATTTATATTTTGGCTTCTTAACAACACAATAGTCTTAAACAAATGCAAACAATAAAAGTATTTTGGTCTTTCACACATATCGATCATGGAAACCAAATTCAATTATTTGGACATGTTTAATATCATGGATTGAAGCCATACAAACTGTTCAAAGCCATCCAAAAGTTTATTTTGTATTTTTGCATTTTAAAGGCAAAAATAGTCTCAAATAGATATAAATGACAACTTTTTCACACATATCAATCATAGAAACCCAGTTCAATCAATCAAACAAGTTTAATATCAAGTGTTGAAGCTATCCAAATTGTTAAAATAAAACAATAACAACAAATTTATAGTTTTACCTAAATAGACATAAACAATAACTTTTTCATACATATCAACCATGGCAACTAAGTTCAATACTTTCAATAAGTTTAATTTCATGTATTGAAACTATCAAAACTATTAAAATAGAATAATAACTGTTAATTTGCATATTTACCTATTAATGGCCCAAAAAGTTCATTTATTGAAATAAGTTTAAAATCATAAACTTACTTTTTTTTTTTTGCTTTCTTGCAAAACTTTTTGATCCACTTGTGTGGCCATATTTTTGTTGCTTTTTGCTACCATTCCCAATTTGTTCTCTCTCCTGTCATAAACAATATTTGCTTATATGGTAGAAATAGAAATGTTACCAACTTAAAGCATAAAACACTTTCATTATTTCATTCTACTATACAAAGTTATAAATTAATACCTTTCTTTTTCTTTAGAACTAAAATCTAACTAATTGTTCATATTGCCACCTAATCACATTATGGGGTAGATTTTTCACTGTTGCCTCTACAGTAGTATTTCGATAAAAATACTTATTCTTCAAATTATGCTTATAGTCTTTCCATTTATTTCCCAATGACTTAAGCACAAATGAAGATGTTATTTCAAGTACAAATCTTGACTGTAATAATACAATAAAAAAAGTTTGAATATGTAAACAAAATGTAAAATAACTATATTTTTATATGTAATTAATTATACTAATACCTTAATAAAGTTTAAAGCATCGGCCTTAACTTCTGCTAGAACTTTATGCCATGTTTCATAATGAATAGGTAATTTCATTCCATTATGGGCAAGCATGCCTAAAAATCCAGCCAACAGTTGAGCCTCTTCACCAATTTGTTGCCTATCAGAGTTTGCAGACATTACAATACGTTCATTTGAAGGTAGTGCAAACAATTCCTTTAAAGTTGTCTAGCCTCTAATCCTCCATTGGCCATTGTTATCAACTGTAAAAAATAAAAAAATCAATTAGCAAAATGCCAATGCTTTAATCGTTATAATCAAATTTTAAATATGGGGTATATGATACCTGCATTCAAATTTAAAGCATAATCAATTGACGGGATACTATCTAAACTTGGACCTCCTATATTATCGAATCCAATAGTAGTTGAAAGGTTAGAAGTGACTGAGTTAAAACTGACAGTACGTTTATTCCCCGTTAATTGATTCAATCCATAACCAATATCAATAGGTGCCACAGATGGTTGTAGACACCCAATTTGGTCTAGGCCCAGATTAATTGGGCCTGGTCTAAATGAGTAGGCCCATTTTATTTTTTATTTTGTATTTTTATTTTTATTTTATATTTTTTTCTTTTTTCTTTGTATCTTATGTATTTATTATTTATTCATTTATTATTACTATTTATTATATTTATTTATTTTATTATTATTTATCTATTAGTATATGTATGTATTTATTATTATTTATCTATTTATATATTATTATTTATCTATTATTATTATTTATCTATTAATATTTTTATTTATCTAATTATTTTCTTTTAATTATCTATTACCATTTTTTTATTTGATTTGATTTGATTTTCTTTTTTTTTTTCAGTTGAGATTGGAATGAAATTTAGGGAATCCTACCGTGAATTTGGGATTCAATCAGAGTCCATATTGGATTCAATGATTGAATCCCAATCCAAAGAGGAGTTGGGATTGATCAGAAACTCTTCTGATCAATCCCTATAAATAGATCCACGAATCAAAGGACCAGAACACATAGAAAGGTAGACACTGGTTGAGAGAGAATAGACAGAGAAGAAACAAAAGCTAAAAAAGGGTTTTGGTGCATTAGAACAGCTCTAGGAATCGGTGGGAATTTTTTTGAATTTTTTGCGAATTTTTTTTCTAGAAATTTCTGAAAAATTTTCAGATTTCGATTGAATTTTCTGACGAAGTTTAAATTTTTCGACGACTTTTTTGGCCAAGTTTGAATTTTTCGGCTAGCTAACCAATTTTCGGTGACTATTTTTAGAAATCGATCAGCTTTTCAGTGAACTTTCGATGAAAAACTCAGATTCTGGTAAAAATTTTTAGAATTCGACGAGATTCAACCGGAGTTCTTCGACTGTTTAGAGAGATGGGAGAGGAAAATAAGGAAGAAAGAGAAGAGGGGAAGTGAATTCTGAAAAAAAATTGACCTTTAGCCTTATATACCCTCCCTAAAACAACGTCATTTTTGCGTTAGTAAACCCACAGGATCCGTGCATTTTGCCAAGATCCGACCCGACCCGAACGCCAACCCGCGTGCAACCCACGTGTGACCCGAGTGCAAAGTCGAACTGAGCCGAGCCGAGCCGCCTACACCCGAGCCGCATCTTCGAGCCGTCCTTTCTTCCTCAAGTCGAGTTGAGCCGAGCCGCTAAGCCGAGCCATTCTCAGTTTTTTTTTTCATTTATTATTTATTTATTTATTATTATTATTACTATTATTTATTGATTAGATTAGAATTGTTTTAGTACTTTTTATTTTATTTTCTTTATTTTTATTTTATTTTCTTTAAATAAAATTCAAAAAAAAAATTTTAAGGAAAAGTTGAAGTATCAGTTTCCTTGAAAATAAGATTTTCAAAAAAAAATATTTTTAAGGAAAATTTGAAAGTATCAATTTTTCTTGAAAATAAGCTTTCTAAAAAATATTTTTGAGAAAGTTAAAAGTATCAATTTTCCT